CCAGGGCGCCTTATGTGCTATGCCAGCTCAGCCAGGTTCAGTGACCCTGAGGGGGGCAGTGAAGGATGGAGAAAAGACAGACAAGAGAATAAAAGGTGGGTCTGGGTGGGACGCTGCCCCCGGATGGAGAGACAGCGCCATGGACTACAAGCTGTGTCTTTATTTTATAGCCAAAGTAAGGGTGTAGTCAAGATGTTTACAACTGTGGTCTGAACATGTGGCCTCATGTGCCTGAGTAATATGGGCTTGAACTCTATCAAGCCTACATCACTCAGGCACATGGGGCACCCTGTTCGGACCATAGGTTCAAGCTTACAACTACAACTGTTGGCTATAATTGTCCTGGGAGGGCCCTGCCCTCCAAGCTGGGACTTGCACGTGGCAATGAGAGGACTGTGCCCTCTCATCAGTCTGAGGTTTGAACCTGTCGAAACACTGTAGTTGCCCTCCACATTTAGCTATTTCTTCTACAAAACCTTTTGGCTTCCTAAAGTCAAGTGTCATTTCATTTTTCTCTATTCCTTCACTTGTCATGGGACTGACGACTCTGAGTCTATAAATTAATATTAAACACACTGGAGGAAATAGATGCAAGAACTTGGAATAAGTCTAGATTTAGTGTGAATCTGTATTCTCTAAGACTTTAATCTGTTTTATCAGGGTGTTAACATAGGTCCTATCTGTAGATGTCCATTCTATAGTAGCTGGGCACCCCAAGGGGGCGCTCCGTATCACAAAATCCAAGTGACTGACAGGACCTTGCCTAAAGCATGGAATCACTCCGGGGGTGTGGCCTCACAGGAGAACTTCAGCCCCAAGAATGACTTGGAGTTAGGAACAGGCTACAACAGCTATTTAGACTCCGAGCCTTTGGAGAAGGTCTGCTATGAGCCTAAACCGGCAGATTTCGAAAAGCGAGGGCAGGGAGAGGATTGCTTTTCTCCTTGCAGTCCCCTCAGCTGACTCAGCAAACGTGGATGGAGTCTGCAGAATTGCCTGACCCGGAGTGCCTTGGGGCCGTCTGTCCAGCAGCAGTAGATGGAGTTGAATATGGACAAAGCCTGCTGGGTACCACTTCCTACTGAGCAAAAGTTACCCAATACCCGCTCCCATCAACTCCTTGTAAGATGTGTCAGCAATTAGCCTTTGGAGGACTCGGGCATTCGTCCTGGACAGAACTCATAATAACCACTGTGATATGAATTAGGTACTAAGCAGAAAGCTCAGTTATTCTGTGCATACAACAGGCGGGCTGTTCTGGGGTCCAGACAGGAATTGTGACCACTTATCCCCAAAAGAGTGACCATGATTCCCTAAGTGAAGATCCTCGACGTCGTCTGTCATCAATGGACAGAGGGCTATCGGTTTTGGCACCATCCTATCAGGAAGAAGAAATTACATAGACATGGCTGGGCACATCACTTGTGAATTTAAATTGCTGCAGCTCTTCGGAGGCAGTCACGTGGCGGGGACATGGTTACCGATGTCCCCAGTCTAAGGATGCCCACCTTGACTGATCCAGAGCTGAACGCATGGCT